TATAAGTAAGTTATAACTTTGCTATCTTTTTTGTATCTTTTTAGTTTTGCATTTTTTTCATTTCGAGGAAAAACGTTTTTTTGTTTTTTTTCGTGGAGTTGTTAAATTGCAGCGATTTCACTTCTTTTTTCCGCTTGGCCAGCACGGCAACGGTCAAAGTTGCTAATTGGATGCACTCATGGCAAACATTGCACTTGCATATGAATTTCTCTCCACCAGCTTGGCACACACGGTGCCAGAAGATTTGACCACTTGATCATTTTCTTGTGACCAGTGGCCTGAAAGCTGCGCAAGGCTGCGCTTCGATTTTTCAGCTCAAACATGGTGACGTATATGTACAGCTCATTGTTTTTGGACAGGAAGAAATGGCAACGACCAGCATTGTATGCGTGGTTCCACAGAAGGAGATCTCCATCTTTGAGCTCCAGCATGGCAACGCGGCACTGCGAAGACATCTCGCAGTGTGCCATTCCAACCACGCGCAATACTTCTTCCGAAGTAAATTGCTTCAGAAGCAAAAACCCATGTGGTGCAATCGGGTTTTGATTCAGCATTTCCACATGGCGGTTGAGCAGTCTTGGCATCAGGCTTTCGCCAAATGCAGCTCCTCCTCTTGTTTGCGTGAGCCGGTGCTGCAGGATGCGAGCAAACGTGTCCTTATATTCTCTGTGCTTGCTTTCAGTTCCCCAACAGTTGGGGAAGCAGTCCGTCTCCGCGTACTGCATTCCAAGGTGCAGCGCGTGGTGATGCTTCGGACGGAAAAAATCCGGCCAAGCACGTTGAAATGCTTCCATGTGATCTCTTTGAGCGGCAGCAAGCTCATCAAACGCACGGGTCTGAGAGATGCTTTTCAGCACATCGAGACACACGCAGAGCTTCAAGAAGGACTCTGCGGCCACGCGCAGTTGGGGCTGGTGAACCCAAACTCCTTCTGCAAGCCAGCGCAGCAAGCTGATAAGTGCCTGCGTTTGCTTAGCAGATCCCTTGTACATAGAGGCGCTAAAAAAGCTTGGAGTGAACAGTCTTTTCGTCCACCATTTATTTTGGGCACCCCGCTTTGCCATCCCGGACCGCTGCCAGCCACTCTCTTGAACGGCTGCAAGCATGTCCGATACATCTTTATTCGTTTCCTTCTTCACAGCAGCAACAAGCAAGCAAAGTTCTAAAGATGCTACTCCGTTGCTGAAGTACACATGCATGGAGTCATTGATGCATTTATGCAGTGGCACCATAGCGCAGCACGCTTCAGATTGCCACATGCCATCTCCTGTCACTCTGTAGCCCAAGCATTTCGAAACGGTGTCTTGTTCTTTCGCGGTCATAGTTGGCCATTTCTGCCAAGCTGACCGCATCCAAGCCTGTAGGCCCCTTTGTGTGTGCTGCTTGAATTTTCTGATGTCTTTCTCTGCAATGGAGTGCAAAGCGTCGGTCTGGCTAGCCGCATCACTGTACGCGCTGACGCAATTCATGCAGAAGGCACAAGGTCGCAGTCCTGCGGACCCCTTCGCTTCCAGCGCGGCGCGCTGTGCGTCCATGTCAGCGCAAAATGCGGCTATTTCCAACAAGACCTGGACGCCGGGAGCAACTTCGAATCTTTGGCCTAAGTTTTGCTGATGCCAATCTTCGAAAAATAGGCTGTGTACTTTCGACAATCCACCTTGTATTCGAGACACTTGCTCATGCGAGCAGACCCCCAGTGGAATCCACGCCCTTGGCGACTCATGGATCGATTGCAGTCCTACAAATGTGAGGTAGAAAATTGTTGCTTTCTGCCTCGGGTCTGTTGCCAAGACGTTTCCGCCCGTGGTCTCATCGTGCGAGAGCACAACCCGCAGCGGCAGATGGCCCTGGGAACTCGATAGAAAGGTTTGGAAGCAAGGGCATTCATGCGCGACATACTGTAGCAGTCGCTTCACATCCGCCACGCAGAACTGCTGCGGCGGGTGGTCAGCAGTCTTTGCCGGCGCCACGAGCAGTTTGAAGCAAGCCCTGGCTGGCGCCAGTGTCCGCGCCATAGCGCGGACCGCCGCGCCACTTGGTCTTCTGTCTGCTTTTGTTCCCTTCAGCACGCTTTGCATGCCATGGATGCTTCGGCCACTCCATCGGGCTAAGGCCGATAGAATCTTTTGCCGTTTGGCCGGTGGATAGCCTGCAGGTTCCATGTTGAATTGCGAATTAAGTTTGAGCCTATATATATAATATATAGACATGAGACGGACATGTAACATGTATACACGCACGCTATCGGGAATATGGACGTATTTCCGTCGAGAAAGTGATTGTCAATCTATAGGTCCTATATATACACTACATATATATATTCATATTCTATATACACTCTATATATACTCTATATTATATCTACATATATTACATATATATATGGGTCTATATATAATAGTTCCTGCGTGTAAAGCTGACAAAGGATTCAAACCAAAGAGGGCATAATCGAGCATCAAGAGCACCGCTTTGTACTTCGGTCGCTGCAATCCATCTCTCTAGACGGCAGGCCGCTGCACATGAGCGAGCTGCATATGCTACAGCAGCGGCAATAGATGCGAGCAGCGGCGTCAGGCTGCATCCGCCACCGCGTCGCACTTTGCCTTTGACATCTTTTCTTTTTCCAGCCGTTCCATATTCAAGCGCACAATTTGACGACAGCGCACATAGTTCCAGCAGCGATGCGCCACACTGTTGTAGTGTTTGCTGCAGCAGCCCAATGCCATGAGATCGATCCCTTCGAGGAGGGTGTCTTGCAACGCCATGTCCAAAACATCCCGTTGAGGGATAGATTTAGTTACCCAGCCCGACATTTTCCAGGCAAAGGTGGCTGAAGTGGAGCCAAAGCTACAAATAGAGCGATTTCCATTTGCCAAAAATTAAGCGGGGAGTTTTGTGATGTGACACATATGAATTATATGCATACACCAAACATATACATATGCTTTTCATTTCTTTATTGATTTATTTCTTTCTTTCTTTTATTTCTGTTTTTATTTATTTGTTTTTATTTTTTGTATATATGAATGTATTCAATCTATATACATTTTAACACTATATTATATACATATATATTTTTCCATGAAACAGGTGTTGCTCGTTTGACCCGAAGAAAGAGAAAGCGCGTTTTTCCTCAGGGGTGCTAACGGATCACAGCCAACTGCAGTGACCATATATATGAGAACGAATTATGGCAGCAAATTAATTGCGGATAGAGCGTCATAACGCTCCAACGGCACGGATCGCACGCATGCGACCTATCTCACTTCTTGCTGCGACCCTTGGGCTTCGCGCTTTGGCAGCGCGCGAAGTCCACCAGAGCTTTGTGCGCTGCGTGGCCGTCCTTCATGCGACTCTGCAGATCTTTTTCTTTCTTCCAGTCCACATCGACTGCGTCGCCAGCCTTGCCGGTGGCAGCGGCGTTGAGCAGCTTGGTAGCTCCGGCAATGGTTTCCGTCAGCACTTCCACCGCATTCACTGCTTGCTCCAGTGTAGCTGGTGGTAATGTGTCATGATCGAGGCCGCCCAGCTTCGTCTCCAATTTCTCCAGGCACGTCTTCAGAGAGGGCAGCAGCTTGGCAGCTGCTGCTGTGGCAACCTTGCGTTCTGTTTCGCGCTGTTTTGCCAGCGTCTTAAGACGCTTCCTCTCTTGCTTCTCTTCTTCCGTGAGCGGTCCCTTGCGCTTGCCCTTCGAAGCTGCAGCAGGCGCCTCCATAGCCTCCTCGAGCTCCAAGGCAGGCACGCCCGGCGCAGATGCTGCCGCCAGCCGGCGTTGCTGGGCATCAGACTGCATCTGCGTGATGCGCTGCTCAGCCTGCGCGTGCAGCGTCTCATCTGACTCAGTGTGGATGGACACCTTGTAAGTCTCTCCCAAAGCACTGTGTTCTTCCATGGGACAGGTTGCCTTGATGATTGCGCTCAGTATCAATAGCCTTTCAATTCCCAGTACGTCAAAGGTTGCCATTCACCTGCATATCCGTCACGCTTCTCGCGGCGCACCTCCTGCACCATGCATTTCTTCAGCATCGCGCGCGCGCGCGAGAACAACAGCCTGCCATCCTCCGCGTTCTTCTTCTCCAACGCACATTCTGAGAAGAATGCAACCATTGACTCTTCGCTCAGAAGCTCCGTCAGCTGCACGCCTTTTCGCTGGAATTGCGTCGCGACAGCATTGCAAGGACGGCAAATGTGCCTCAGCTCGACGCGAAAACTCGGTCGCGAAATCATCTCATCGACCTTGCCTTCTGTCTTGCACTTTGCACATGTGGCAGTGTCATGCGCAGGAGTATCCACAGCGGCGTCAGCTGGCGTTGCCGCCGCCGCGTCCGCTGGAGGTTCCAGAGCGGATGCTGCTTTGGCCTCCTCCACGTGCCTGTCCATGTCAGCTTCGATCTCTCTCGCAAGAGTATCTTCAGCAGGAGTAGCCATATCTTCAGCAGGAGTCATATATATGATTCAAAACAAGGAGGGCAAAAGTGACAGCAAAGAGCCGTTTGACTGCGCACCCACAACTCTGTCTTGAGAGCGCAACAGTTGCGGAGAATCTTGTTCATTTTTCTATAGTTTTCTGTGTTTTGTGGAAAAATACATTCGTATATTTGCTTCCGGGGCTGTCAAAGTACAATACACAAACGCGTTTCCTTACCTCTAAAGGAATATACATACGCGTTTTTGGGTTTTCTTTTGCTTGGAAAGCAACATACATACGCGTTTTTTTTTGGATGTTATCCCGTGTGAAAAAAAATACAAAAAAATACAAAAAATACATTAAAAATACATCTCCGACATAGCATATCAATCAACAAAAATACGAGGACACATGTGAAAATACATACGCGTTTTGTGATCCGTATGGGCAAATACATACGTATTTTTTACTTTTCCCTTGGATTTTCTGAATATACATACGTGTTTTGTCATATTCCTTGCTAACCTTACTCCCTTGAGCTACAGAGCATCTTTTTTTACTGGCGGTCTGTGCGGTATAGGGGTGAAACAGGCTATTTCAGGCCTTGCAAACCCTCACGGATCGCAGTCTGCAGGAGGCGATCCACGAATTCGATGCCAGGCAGCGTAGGCGCCGCCGCCGCCTGCTTTGGTTCGGCCGGCGCGAACGCCGCATCTTTTTTCTTGGGCGCAGCTTGGGCTTTCTTGGCATCAGCCACGGACGCCTTCTCCTTTTGTTTGGCAGCTGCTTGGTTGCTCTCTGCAGCGGGCGCGGGCGCCGCCTCTGTGTTGCCGTCTTGCTCTTCGGAACTGCTGGTATAGTAGCTGTAAGACGAACTCTCTTTGTCCGGCGCGGCAGCTGGCTCCTTGCCGCGCCCAGTTCCAGCTTTGGCAGCTGCTGCAGTCGTTTCCTTCGACACTGGAACCATAGGCTTCTCTTTGCTGTCGGCTCCAGCGCGCTCACGCACCAGTCGGTCGCGGCATGCCTTCAGTTCCCACACAGGTATGCCATCGAAAAGTGCATCGTCTGTTCCAGCAGCGCGCGCGCGACTCACGCCGTTTGGACGCTTTCCGTTCCTCATCTTCCTCTACCGCGCGCGTGCGGTCCTCGCGCTGCTTACGACCTTCCCGTTCTTGTCTGCGCAGTTCTTCTTCCTCCATGGCGCGCGCACGCACCTTGCGTTCTCTGCGGTCCTGCCTCGCAAGCTCTTCTTCTTCCTCCATGGCGCGCGCACGCGCCTTGCGTTCTCTGCGGTCCTGCCTCGCAAGCTCTTCTTCTTCCTCCATGGCGCGCGCGCGCCTTGTCTTTTCTGCGCGCTTCCCTCTCATATGCTTCTTCTTCCGTGGCGCGCAACCGCGCCTCTTCCTCTTCCTGCCTTCGGCGCTCACGCCTTCTCCAGGCCTCTTCTTCTGCTTCTTCCAGAGCGCGCTCGCGCGCTTCCCCTCTGCGGCGGGCTGTGTTGCGGCCGGAGCTCCTTGCGCGGGCTAACGGACTGCGCGAAGCCCTGCGCGTCCTTGAGCGGGAACGCTCTGGGGGCACAGGCGGCGGCAGCGGCAGCCCCTGTGCCAGCTGCCTCTCCGCCATTGCCGCCGCCTCCCATTTCGAGTGTCCCTCATTCCTGTATCGCCAGGTCAGGCAATACTTGCTCTGTTGGTGTTGTGTCAAACCTTGTTCTGTGTTCGACACCTTTGTCCAACAGATTGAGCACGGCTGCCGATCCACGTTGCTTTTGGTTCGCCACCCACCACGGCGATTCTTTCGGCTTTCGCCGCCTTCTCCTCCATGCGGCGCAGTCTTGTCTCCTGCAGCCACTTCCGGTAGGGCCGAATCCCCTTCCGCCTTGGCCAGAGGGGCAGCGTCTGAACGCTCTTCCTTCGGCGCATCATCCAGGCCAGCGTCACCACGCTCCGCCTTCGGCGCATCATCCAGGCCAGCGTCACCACGCTCCGCCTGCGGCGCATCAGGCAGGCCAGCGTCACCACGCTCCGCCTGCAGCGCCTCCTCTGCATCATCCGGCCCACGTGGTCTATGGTCGGGCTCCTCCGACGAAGTGGACGCCATGACCTGGCAAGACGGAAAATGAAAACGGATGTATCTATATATATATATATATTCATACAAATGGTATATGATAATTTATAGTTCAGTGGGGAAACTATATTAAGAGGTGCTCAATCACACATATATATATATACATATAAATACATGTGAGGCAAATCAATCATGTGGCCCGCCGCGCGAACGCAGGCATGAACCTATCGGAGCATAAGCTCCATCGAGCCATGCTCCACGCCGCGCGCACGCAGGCTCCTTTGCTGCGCGCACGCAGACTTTCCGTGCAGCCGCGCGGACGCAGGCTTGCATCTAGCCGCGCGCACGCAGGCTATACAATGCTGCGCGCACGCAGACTCTCTGCAGCCGCGCGCACGCAGGCTTGCAAGCAGGCTTCAAAGCGGCCGCGCGCACGCAGGCCCCCAAACAGCCGTGCGCACGCAGGCTTGATATTTCTGTGTGTGTTTTTTATTTGAACATCATGTGTATATCTATATTAATCTATATATACATATATATATATTATACATAACCCTGTCCCGGCCTGCTTCACCGTCATACACCACAGAAGGGCAGCCGGAGCCGTCTGCTTGAAAAAAACGGCTGCGGATACATACATGTTATGAGTTCTGCTTACTTTAGAAAAAAAACAGCTTTCCTGTTTCGCTAACATTGCGAGGCAGCACTTTCTTTTCGACCATCGGAGAGTATGTCACTATAAATCAAAGGTCACCTTCTCCACCACAACCTTAATCTTCATCAAATCAGCGCTACTCAGACATGCATCCGAAATATCCAAAGATACATCCTCAAGCGATTGAATACGCTCATTGCGGCTCTCTGCAGACATCGACCTGCCCTTCTCACCCCGCAAGGCCTCCAATGTAGCAAAAATCATTTCTGCCACGACTTGCTGTTCTTTCTTCAGTGGCAATCGCTCAACAGGCGTCGTGCGCCGCTGCTTCGGGGACTCAGAAGTCACACTCAAGACTTCAAGCTTCTCATCCTTGCTATCCCGCCAAAGCGCAGGCAAAGTTTTCATAATCATGCGACCAGTACCCATGCCGCGCTGCTGCCACTGCACTTGCACAAAATCACCGGTCTCATCTCGCCTCCAATCAAATGGCTGCCACATGATTGCGCAAAGCGAGAGAAAACTGTTGTACAAATATATGTTGCTTTGAGCAAAATTGATCGGAAGCAAACCCATAAACACACATCAAACATATACTGCATGCAAGAAAATATGCAGACCATGGACAGAGAGAGAGAAAGAGAGAGAGAGAGAGGGAGAGAGAGACGAATATATATATATATAATATGTATATATATATATATCTTTAGAACATATATATATATATCCTATCAATCTCCAATGAAATATCTCCAAGAAATGATGCAACACCAAAATCAAAAACTGTTTTCCAACCAAGCGGCTATAGTGGCAATGCCTCAAAATTTCAGTCCACAAGGATCATACCTTTCTTCTTCCAACAGCTGGGGCAACAACCGCGCTGATGGCGACAGCGAGCGCAGCCCGTTGGCCTCAGCTCGTAAGCCTTAGCCCGAGTAATCTTCTTCTCCTGATCTGTCTTTGCCGCTGGCCTTTTTTTTGGTCCAATTGACGAAGATGCAGCCGCAGGCTTCTGGTAAATCCTTTTCTCGGAAGATGAAGCCAGCATTGCTGCAGCAGCAGGCCTCTTCATAATCTTCTTCACGCTCACAGCGGACTTACCTGCAGGCCGCTTGCATGCGCTCGCCTCCTCGGGCGGCGACAAAACTGAAGGCAGCGTCTCATTGTAATGAGCATTGGCCAAGATAGCCAAACTTGCTTCCACCTGCGCCGCCTCCGCGGCCTCCATCGCAGCTGACCCCTCCGGCTGCGAATCCACCGCTGGCTGCACCGCAGACGGTGCTGCAGGCGTCGCAACAGCGCCAACGCTTTGCGACGGCTCGCCATTGGTCAGGGCCAACTGCTGAGACATTGAGGCAGGAGCCGCCGGCACGCTGGAAGAACTAGCAGCTGCAGGAGCTGCATTGGCTTGTTCCAACATCAACCTCAAAGACTCATCTCTTCGACTGACAGGCATCTCACGGTTCCCAGGCTGAAATTGCTGGAATCCAGGCAGCTGCACTTCAGAACAGCGCCCTACTGCGCCCGGGTTCACCAAAGCAAGCAAAGCCTGAGCCGTCGTGACCGCTGCTTGCTGAGCAATTGCAGCAGCATACCCAGCCTGAGAAGAGATCAAGTCAGTGTGGCCACCTTGCAATTGCCTAGAACGATGAGTGCTGCGCATTGGCCACGCATTCCCAGATCGCCATGCAATGTTCAGGTCAATCGGCGGCTGCACCAATCCAGTCGGAAAAAAGCGCTCGCGCATTTCTCCTGGTAGCTGCTCCCAGGTCACAGGCAATTCCTGCAAGTAACCTCCCCCAATCGGAGTGCCAAGCTGACGAGCTCGGATGATATGGGTCTTCATCACACTCTTCACAGTTGACAAAAGAGCAACTTGCTTTGCAGTGTCTGGATCCTCCATATTTTGGCCATCGCATTGAGCAATCACAGCAGCCACGGTTGCCATGGTCCGCTCCGAAGGGTTTCGTAAGCCCAACGTTACAAGATGCGAAGTGACGCATTCCACTTTCCGAAGCTGTCTCTCGGAGCTCCCTTGCAAGATGTTCCAAACGTCTTGGGTCAAATACAATGGAAAGCGTGCCCACTGTTGCATTTGAGCCCGAGCCTGCTCAGTAGCAGCTATTTGAGCCTGAGGCTGCTCAGAAGCAGCTGGAAGCAGACCCGCCCCTTGCATGGCAAAAAGGCCCCAAAAAACCGAAGAGCTCGCCAAAACTGAGAAGAAACGCTAAATTTGAACCACACGCAGCAAAAGATCACAAAATGAAGCAAAAATGGCAAACCGAGCTAACTTTCAAAAGTTGAAAATAAAAAAGTTAACTTTGCTAACTTTTTTGTATCTTTTTAGTATCTTTCCACTTAAAAGATACAAGTTAACTTATAAGTCCATAACTAAGATATAAGTTTAACATAAGTTATGGAATTTATAACATAAGATAACCCTAGTTATAACATATGTTAACCCTGGTTATAAGTCAAGTTATAAGTAGGGAGTTCTCCTTGCAGCTGCCTGAAAGACAGTCTCCAGGGTCTCAATGCGTCCTGGTAGCCATAGCTCTGCTGCAATGGTCATGAAAAGCTTGGCAAATTTATCTTGAATAGAAGTTAATGATATGGTCAATTTTGCCTGAAGCCACAATGCTGGCAGGGCGCCAAGGTTGTCAGGCTGGAAGAAGATATTCATCTGAGGTTGAGACCCACGCATCATGGTTTCAAGCTTATCAGCAGCGCCGGCGATCTCGCTTTCGGTGGAGTCATCGGGCGCATCTGGGGTAGGGGGGCACCAAGACTCTTCCGCCTCAGCTTCAGCGTCAGTCTCAGCATCCGTGGTGTCTCGTTCCCCTTCCGATGAGAAATCTTCGACTGCATCTCCTGCTCCTTCAGGGCCTGTGATGTTGCCTGTACGAGGATGCAGTTGGAGCTCCGGAGCCTGTAGCAGGTGAGCTCGTAACCGGTGAGCATCAAAATAGTGAAGGCCCGGAATTGCAGAGAGCTTTCTCTCCTGGAGGGCTTGGTGAAAGAACAACTTGCTGCCTCGTTGCCTATGTACCAAGACCTGGTATCCATTATGGGAAGCACACAGCCAAAGTGGAGAGCGGTAGCCATCCGCAGCGTAACCGTACAGGTACTCACGATCTATGGAACAGGGGAAGAATCCGCTGGCAGTGAGGCGGTGATCTCGGCTATGGGATGCAAACGTAGCTAGGACGTCAGGAGTAAGCCGTAGCTTTGACTTTTGGGCAATCACAAGCCGATAACGTCGCAAGGACCGCTCACCATTAATTGTGACAATCATGGCAATGGCAAGAGGGGGCTTGTCAAGCGACGTAAATGGGACATCAAGACACCAGTCCAAGACCGCTGCAGCCTCAGATGGGACAAAAGCCGGGTCATGAGTCTGTATCTGTCCAGCTTTGAGAGTATAATACCCGTAGTGATACACCGCCAGGGTCTGCGCCATTCCTATCATCCCAGACATGTCAAGCGGTGAGACAAGGTATGCTGAATGGCCCGCGTTAGTGCTACTGTTGCTCGTCCATAGCAATCCTCTCTGTCATATACGGGCAGTGGCACCTGCTGCAGAAGAGGTGGTAGTGACCCGCAACCTCCAGAACCATGCTGTCTGGAAACCATGCTGGAGGAGCTGATTGTGCACCGCAGTTCGATTGCCCAACACTAACAGCTGAGCTGTAGCACCTTGGCTCAGGTCTCGATGACGTTTCTGAAGGTAGGTCAGGAAGGCCACTACATCTCGTTGTTTCTTCCTTTCCCTCTGCGGTTGTCCCTAGTGGCGTCCTGGTCCAGTTTTTACCCTGGTCCCTCCCTCTGGGTATCTGGTTGCTTACGTGAAGGTCTGGTTGCCCTGCCCTCCTGCTGGGGGCGCGGTGGTGCTCTGCCTCCCTACCTCCACGATGTCTCATGGCAACAAAGGGTGTGGGTTAGCTCCCTCTATGATGATCCAGGCCCCACATTGGACACCGCTAAGCTACACTATTGCTCCTCTAATGCAGTTAGTGCGGCCCACTCCATTCCTGTCCTCCTCTGCCTCCCCGGCACCCCCCTCTTGCTCCTGTTTTGGTTGTTTTGTTGTTTGTTGCTCTTTGGTGCCCGTGTTACTTTTTCAGTAAATACTCCAGTGTGATACTTCTGACCGTAGACTGGTCAGGGGTATCACCTCGCTGGTCCCCCCCAAGTAATACCATTGCGCACTGTCTCTGGCCGTAGACTGGTCCAGGGGCTTTGCCTCCCAAACTCTGCTCATGGAGCTCCTCACTAGACAACAAGCGGAACAACTGTGGTTCGAGCCCGACCCCTTCGCGCAATTTGATAACCTATTGGAAGCCCTAGGCCTCTATAAGGACATTTCCACTGAGTATGGCTTGAATCAGTCTGTTCATCACCAGTGGCGGTTTGGAGACCCCCACAAGAAGTCTGGTGAACCTGATCGGCACGACTGTGACATAAAGGTCGTGGATGGGGTTGAGGTGGCGCCGGGACCTGTGTGGCACAGCCTCTATCGATGGATCGTCAGCCAAGCTGCTGACTTCCTAGCCTTCCAGACTGTTTACCTCATCACTGATAATCGAGACCTTTTGGCGGAGACCGTATCCAGCACTGTGGGGCTTAGCCACTGGCCCATGGTCGCTGCGTGGTGGAAGGAGCGAATTCGATATGTGGGCCCTTATGGTGAACGCACCACAGTGGTCTTTGTGCCCATATCGGCAGACACGGGACTGGACCAGGTGCACCCTACGTGGGCTGGCACCTACATCTTGGATGCATGTGTTTTTCTCTTCCCTGGCATCAACTTTGCTCTCATCGATAGTGATTGTGTGCCTGTAACACTCTTCGAAATTCAGGAGCTGTGGTTAACTTGTCATGTGTAGAGCACGACGCCCGTGAAGGAGGATGCCGGCAACCTGAAGCAATACCGAGCAGTCCAATTGCACCTGCACAGAAGAGAGGAAGATCAGTTGACACGGGACAAGCCACGCAACAGCAACCCGGCCCCCCTGTCAAGCTGCCCAAATCACGGAGCGTTGAAAACTTTGCGGCCAGTAACGTGCGGTCACCGCCCTCTGACCCCACAGGAAATTTTGAGGATGAGGTTGACTTTGGTGGGTCAGAACCCTCGAGCTCGCATCCATCTGAGAGAGAAGCAGAGAAGAGCAGCAACCTCTCGCCCACGGCCCAGTCGTGCCCAGGATCGACCGACAAACAGGCTACCACTGAAGCACAACAACCTGTTGCCAGCAAAGGCGTCATCCTGGTAAGTGAAGCTTTCACAGAAATCAATGCTGGACTAGTTATCGTGTTGGCATCTGGACATCGCAGCTCACTTCAGGAATCTGACCTTGTCGATTCCGAGCGAGACCCAGATGAACTTGCCGCCGTTGCCAGCAAAGCCTACTTTGGCCATGTCGAAAGCTACCTAGCGACCACCCAACCGCCCAGTGACACCGAAACTGCCGTTTCCAGTGGCTTGCTAGGATCACCACTTCTTGGCACCACCACTCGATGTGCAGCTGATTGGTGTCATGCCTGGAGCCTATTGGGGCAGTGGTCAGGGTTGGTCACTTTTCCTGTACCTGCCACGGGCCTGTGGCCTCGTCATGGACACTTGCGAGGAATCCTAGACGGCTTCCAAGGCAGACAACCCAATTTTCATAAGTGGGCCCGGCCCGCCTATGAGCAAGGGGCCCTGCCAACACTCAGTCTCCTCCCAGGCGAGGTGGTGATTAAAGTGTTACCAGGAGACAAGATCTATCAGGCCATGGAAATTGAGCCGGGTTTTATGAGGCCTGCTATCCTTCATTTTGGAACTAGGGCTAAGCAGCGGCTGCCATCGCGACTTGAGGAGTTGGCGCAACTTGGTTGGTTACCACTAGCAGCTGCGCTGTTTGGGACAGCAGAGTGGCAGCCACAGTGGCTCCACCATAATTTTCTCCCTGTCATCGGCCTGCGTGTCCATGCGAAGATCCCACCGTCCCCGCTCTCGTATCAGCAAACAGTGGCTTTGCTTGGTCTGTGGGAACGAAGACCCGCAATTGGAACCCAGTGTCGGGCCCTTGCAGGCGGCTGAGCTCACATTTGGCCTCCCAACTGCTTTCCGTGCACCAGAGGACTGGAAAACAGAACTGAAAGGGGAAGTATTTGATCTCGTGCAGTGTTCCCAGCGGATCTATACGGGTGAGGCAGCCAATACTTCACAAGCTTCGCAAGCTGGTTTTGACCGGCCAAGAAAATGGGCACAATGGGTTTTTTCGATGAGCAATGTTTGGCAAGAGGATTCTCCCATATGCAATCTACCAGCTGTTCTCCACTGCACTTGGATGGGGTGCATGGAGGGCATTTTTGCCGGACCGATTTGCCAACCGAAAGCTTTTGATCACCCGTGCCATACGGTTGACTGCGGCTACCATCCTTGCGATCCTGCTTTCCTCAGTATGTGACGGCATCCATCCCAGACGGAATTAGGGACATTGATGTACTTGGATTCTCGGCCGGATCGTACACTGGACTGGCAATTCACAAAATTCTTGAAGACCGGCTCTGTGTGTGGCACCCTGACACTCTCACTGACCTCAGTTATAACATTATCCTCATTGATCTTGTTTACTCCAATTGAAGAAGGCACCCATCATATTGATTACCTCCAAATTACGACCCCGGAGGTCATACCGCATGGGATACGATGTGAAGGGCTCTTACGAGTGCTCTCATGGGTCAGCTTTGATCTCCCTGATCATTGCAAACGCACCTTAAGTTCACTCTCCAGGCTGCTGGCGATGGATGCCCTGACCTGCATATGGTACCATGTGATGGCAGAGATGTAAGGGATGACCCTCCTGCTACGGAGCAGGACTTGCGACAAGTCTTAATTGATATGATCCCCATCCCTGGACAGGCGCACGCGGAAGGAGGAGAACTCATGCGGAACCTGTTAGCTGAATTCCTCCGTGGTTTTTCTCTGCGCACCTTGATATTCCTGCTTGATATGGTGTTGCCTCAATTGGACGCCTACCGTGGTCGTCAGCTCCAGCACCTACAACCCTGGACCAGCGTTGTGCTGGCGCAACGACAAGGGCGAGGTCAACCGGGAGTCGAGCTTGTGCGATATGGCTATGAGGCCTTTGCTGGTTTTCATGTTGTGCAGTTGCTCACAGACGGTATTCC